TTCGAGGACGCGGGATCTTACAGTGTCAACCTGAGGCTGAGCGCTGCCGGGGTGATCCGGGTGCCAGCGCACAGGCCGCTAGCTGGAGCCGTGGCCCACCCCCAACCCCTGGCTACTGGCTTGCCCACTGTGCCCTCTGTGCCTGCCGTGCCGGGTGTCAACAACCTCACCGGCCTCACCTTCCCCTGGATGGAGAGTAACCGCAGATACACAAAGGACAGGTTCACAGGTGAGTCCGGCCCGCGCGCGCCCCGCCTGGCCGTGGCTCGGGCTCTGCACTACCCCTTCCCTGCTTGGTGGCTCCCTGAACACCCCTCTGAGTGCCAGGTTGCCCAGCTCCTCTCCTCGCTTTCGCCAAGTTCAGCGGTCCGCCGAATTCTATGTTCCCAGAATCGCTGTGCTCCAAGAGTTCTCGCAGCCTGGGTCCCTCCAACTCTCCTGCAGGACCCCTGCTCCAAGAAGCAATCCTTGGTCCCCTCTCTTGGGATCCTGGGGTCCAGTCAGGTAGAGGGAAGAGGCTGTAGATTCAAGACTATCTTCTATAAACATTTGAGGCTCAGGGATCTCAGAGAAGGGGTGCGATGTGAACAAAGTGTTTCTTTCGCCCCGGCTGCGATTTTCTCACCGAGGCTGGGATCCCCCACAGTTAGATGCAAGAACGGGTTTCCCACCTCTGCCCCGCCATACACACACCAAGTTCCCGTGCCCATCGTGCTGTCAGGCCCGGCAAAGAGCCGGGTTCCCCGCGAAGCAGAGCTGGCAGGTCCTTGTCGGAGAGTAGACTTTCTCCTCTCGGTGGCAGCGCGGGGCTGAGTCGCCCGAGACAGCTTGCTCTTCATTTTCTTTCTGTCCCGGCTGGGCGTCCTTGCCAGGGCCCAACTCTGTTGTCTCCGGGATGAATAATGCATCCGTGGCTGGAGGACGACTCTCGGGATGATTACTGCACTAGGTGGCGGCTGGCTCCTGCCCTCTCAGCTCCTTCCTTGGCTCGTCCCCGGTCCCTCCGCTCCCGCTTCCGCTCTGGGCACTCAGCTCGGACTCTGGGGCGGCCCGTTCCCCAGGCCCTTACTTCCCGTTCCCTGAATCTGAGACCATGATCCTCCCGCAGGCCAGACCCCCAAACCCCACTGGGAAACTGCCTCGAATTGAACTCTGTTCCTGGTCTGGGCCTTAGAGAGGGGACGTAGGACAACCAGGCCTCTGCTGGCTGCAGCTGGGACTCCCAGCCGAGCTCCAGGGCCCAACTGTGAAAGTGTGTGTGTGTGTGTGTGTGTGTACACACACGTGTGCAAAGACATTGGGAGAAGAATTTTAGAGCTAAACGTGGCTAGATAATCCCAAGGAATTCCAGGCCCTCTATGAAGCACAGAGACTGCATTTGGAGCTTCTGACCAGATTCTGGGACTGTGGCAGAAGCCTGTGTGTGTGTGTGTGTGGGGTGTCAGAAGCAGAACAGCTGCTGCATTGTGGGCCTCCAGGAAGAACCCTCACTCATGGGGCCCCAATGCTCCAACTCAGGTGATCTCAGGCAGGCCTGAGTAGGCAGAGCCTTGTGCCCACCTCATTCCCCTAACCAGACTAGGTCAGTGTTGAAGGCTCTGAAGGAACCCCCAACTAGGACCCCACTCTCCTGGATATACAAATATTAGGATCCTGGAACAGGGAGATCACTGTTGTGTGTGTGTGTGTGTGTGTGTGTGTGTGTGTGTGTCTCTATACACTCAGCACAGGGCTTACTCTGGGGAGCCACAGTCCATCCTAGTCCTGTGTTGGGACTGAAAGAGGTTCTGAGGGAGAATATGACTATGGCCTCCTATTGCCTTGTGTCCTGTGTGCTTGTGCTGTGTCTGTGCTTGTATGGGTGTATACATCCTCCTGTTTGTGTGCACAGATCTGTAAGTTCACACCTGGTATATGCTATGTCTGTGAAGGGCTGTGAAGGCGGCTCAGGTCAAGACCTAGAGTCAGGCACCTTGATTACCCTCTGCCTCTTAGTGTTGGCCTGCTTTTCTGAGGTTGGAGGCCAGGGGCTGTGACCTTTAGCTCTCCTTACACTGACCCTGGGTGGGAGGAAGGGAGCAAGAAGGCCACTGGGCTTGGGGAGCCCCGGGCTAGGGAGGCCTAGGCAGTGGTGGCGTCAGCCTGGCGGGTGGAAGGGTGTCCTTTCCCGTGGCGGGCTTGGAGCTGAGGGCTGCTGGGAGGATCGTGGTCTTGCTTTTAGGGGTCCAGCCACTGCGCTCGCTGACTCGCGTGGTGTCGGGCCTGGGACGCCTCCTGACGCTCTGCCGCTTGCCTCTGCCGTCTGTCTGTCTCCCGCTCCAGTGGCCCTCTCACCCTTCACTGTAACACGCCGTATAGGTCACCCCTACCAGAACCGGACGCCCCCCAAGAAGAAGAAGCCGCGCACGTCCTTCACGCGCCTGCAGATCTGCGAGTTGGAGAAGCGTTTCCACCGCCAGAAGTACTTAGCCTCCGCGGAGCGCGCAGCTTTGGCCAAGGCGCTCAAAATGACCGACGCTCAGGTCAAAACCTGGTTCCAGAACCGGCGGACGAAGTGGAGGTGAGCACGTAGGGAAGGCCTGCCGCGGGCGGCACAGTTTCTGGCTGCTCTCGGATTGCTCGCTGGCTCTCTTTGGGCAAACAGACTCCCTCTGCTCGCTGGTTTCTGATCGGTTCGGTGGAGCGGGCTTCTGCAAGGCTCGCGGGGAGCTAGAAGCAATCAAGACCAATAGCCAGGTGGGACTGGAGACACTTAGCTCTGTTTTACCGGTGGCTTCAGGACTTTCAGAACTGTGCCGATGTAGATGCGGCTGGTCTCCGCCGCCGCTAGGGCAAACAGGCGTGTTAGACTACTGTGTATCTGGGACCTCTGGGCTCAGGGAATCCTCAGAGGCTTTTTGATTGTGCAAATTCTCATTTACCGGGGAAACCTCTTCTGTCCCAGAGACTTGGAAGCAGAAACGGGCCTCATCTTGTTTCTGCGCTCCATCCGGACTCCCGGCAGGGAGACTGGGGCCCCAGAACGCAGGCTGGGCCCTTCTGATTGCCTCCTCCCCACCCGGTTCCCTACCCTGGGAGGAAAAAAATCAATCCGCGCCGGCTGTGACTGGGTTTCGTGGGTCCCACTGAAAGGGGGATCAATTAGGAGCAGATGGGTGTGTGAGAAAAAGACATTTTCCTTTCTCCTGTCACACACTACAATTACACTTACTACACGTTTTATTTTTATTTTTTTCACATGCTATACGTCAACCCCTCTCGTTTTCGTTCTTCTCTCTCCCCTACTTTTGCGGACACTAAGCGTCCCCCACACCCCTAAGTAGCCTTATTCCCTGCAGACACTGGAACATTCTCCAGATACACCCTCTTGCACCCCGCATTCTCGGGTCCAAACGCATTGTCGCGAGTTCGAACGCTCAGGCTCTGGGTGGTGGTGGAGGGGGAGCGCAAGAGTCTGGGCAAAGTCGTCGGAGGCGGCGGCGCCGGGCCGGGCGGGCCTCGGGGAGAGAGGAAGGAATTGGAGTTTCCTCTTTTTCTGAACGAAGGCGAGGAATCTGCTAGGGATTCCGCCTTGGGGCCACAAAGGAAGCCCGGGCCCGCGAGTCTACCGCCCCCCATCAACATTCCTGCCTCTGGGGAAGGGGTGGGGGACTCGGTTTCAACCCTTTGAAAACTGGTAAAAGAGGGAGCTTGGGCTAGCTAGGAGGGGTCGCTGGTATTTTCAAGGCCTACTAAGGATTGTAGACTAAGGGAGGGGAAGAAGCCAGGCAACCCCCTCTCACACACACATCAAACTAGAGTGGGGACACAGAAAGGCAGCGACAAGCCAAGAGAGAAACTGAAACACAAAGGAGAGGGACAAAGATAGATTCCCCACTCCAAGAGAAAAAGGGAGCATGGCAGGCAGCCTAAGGAAATCTCATGTACAATAAAGGAAAGCATTGGATGATTAAAATCGCCATTTTCGTTTCAAAGAAATCCCCTTAATTCAGAGAAAACGAAGGGGATGAAAAAAAAAACAATAGACAGAACACAGAGTGAATGAAGAGAAACATTTGGGTGCAGTTTAAAACGCAGGAACCAAGGGGAAGAAAGAGTCAGAAAGATACACTGAATGAAAAGTCCAGAAGGGGCGGCGCGAGGAGGCTAGCGGCGGCCGCTGGAAGAAGCCCTCGCAGGCTTCGCGCGGCTTCATCGATCGCCTACAAATTGCTTCTGGAGGCCCCGGGGACTCCCATTAGGTCTGTCCACCTTAGAGACAGACGTTTGATCTCAGTTGACAGGGTGGAGGGGCGGCATTAAATGGAATAAGTGAGTCATCGCCTCCCAAGACTGCCTCTGAGGAAGCTGGTGGGTCCGGCGGGAGCCCGGGGCAGGGCACAGGGCTTGGTGCACGAGGTCTGAGCCTTGGGGGAGGTTCAGAGAAAGGAGAGAAGAGAGGTCTAAACGCTGGTCTTTGCCTCTGTGTACTCGTGGGGAGGTGAGGCTCTTTGGGTTTGAGGCGGCTCCAGGTCTCCCATACTGGTGGGGAGAGACGACCTGCCAACCTACCCCTAGCTAATGGGGTGAGGGTGTGGGCGCTGCGCTCAGATGGGAGGCCCAGCAGTTCAGGCCTAGCGGACATACCCACAGTATGGGTATACAGCTCCATCCACTTTTGGGTTTCCCAGTCTCCCCCCACCCCGTGGCACTGGGGATTGAACCCAGGGCCCATGCATGCGAGGCAAGCACTCTACCAACTGGGCTGTATTCCCAGCCTTTATCAGAATCAGGACACTCAAGTAGTTGGAATGTGTTAAAACAACCTAAATTGGAATTGGGGGCTGCAAACAGCCATGTTCACCGAAGCTATCTCCCGGGAGCGCGCTCGGAACCCTCGCACGCGCGGGAGCCGGGTTGGTGCCCTGGCGGGTAACAGCTTGTTCCCGGTACAGGCGACAGACCGCGGAGGAGCGTGAGGCCGAGAGGCAGCAGGCAAACCGCATCCTCCTGCAGCTGCAGCAGGAGGCCTTCCAGAAGAGCCTGGCGCAGCCGCTGCCGGCTGACCCACTGTGTGTACACAACTCGTCGCTCTTCGCCCTGCAGAACTTGCAGCCTTGGTCTGACGACTCCACCAAGATCACTAGCGTCACATCTGTGGCGTCGGCGTGCGAGTGAGCCTGCACGCTTCACTCTGGGGGACCCCAGGCCGAGTTAAGGGCCTCTGAGGCCTCAGAGCCAGGACTCTCCCCCACCCCTCCCCGCCTCGGACTGCACGTGGGAGGGGAAAGCTGCTCCCCTTGCACCGGCCCCTAACGCTCCTGCCAACATTGTTCCGGTCTTAAGTGGAAGAAAAGAGCGCTGGGGATAGGGATGGAGACCCCTACCCAGAAGCCTATGCGATCCCCCAGGTCACGTCCTCTGGAAATGTTCAGAGTCCTCTCAGTGTTCCTTCATTTCATTTTATTTCAATTTTAACATGGCATGGAGAGAGACAGGGAGATGGGTTTGGACGCAAGAGCTTCTGGGATCTCCAGATCTCTGAATTTGCCCTGGGAAACCCCTCTTTGTCCCACTCCTCATCATACACTTGAATAACCATAGGCCCACATAGAGGTGATGTCACTATCCCTCCAGGTACCACCCAAGAACCACACATGAAGACTTAAGGCAGAGTGTCATGCACACAAAGGGTCATAGCCTTCACACTGTTGACCCTCACTATTAGGTACAGGCCAAGGGTTGCCCAGATTCATCCTGAATAGCATGGCACTCTTTCTCAAAGATACACAAAGCTACAGACACACAGTGACACACCATTCCACACACAACAGCCTCACTGGGCCTATTGGGCCCCCAACCTCACATCCCAGCTTCACCCAGGTACGCACAGACAGGTTTTCACACAAACTCAGCCCATTTCTCCAGATCCTGTTTGTAGGGGGGTTTAAGTTATGCACTTAATAAGGTGTTTTCTGTGTAACCATTTTATAAAGTGCTTGTGTAATTTATGTGGAAAAAAAATAATAAAACCCTCCGGATCCGGAGTCAGGGCTGCCTGCTCCTTGCTGAGCTGCGCATCTTGCAGCTACTTGGGTTTGGTGAGAGCTGGGGCTTCAGAGGCAGCTTCTGGTACCTGTACCTAAAGGATATATAGGTGGAAAAACCCTCAGACTCTGGAGAGAGAAAAGGAGGAGGACAAACTGAAAGAAGGTAGAGCTGAGGAGAGGCAGCTTCTCCTGGGATTATTATATTTGAAAGGATGTGGATATCTTGGAGTGTGAGAGTTGTGTGTGTGTGTGTGTATATGTGTGCATTCTGTGTTTGTGGTAGTATGGGCAATTAGAACATTACTGATGGGGAATGTTTGTGATGGTGTCTACATGTGTAAATGTGTTTGAAATTCTTGTATGTAAATGCTTGTTTCTTCTGAAGTTGTGAATTGAAACTATCATTGTATGCATAGGCTTGAAGTTGTGTGTGTGTAATCATGTTAAAGTGTGACTGTCTTTTGGGGTAATTGTGTGATCACCCTTTTTGTGATTGTATATGAATTGTGTTAGTGTTTTTGAGAGTACATATTAGTTTCTCTTTGTGAATCTACTTTTGTGTTAAATATGTGGTTTTTGATTGTGTATCATCTTTAATTGTATGAATGTAATTGTGAGATGTAGTCATGTGTGAGCCATGTGTTTGAATGGTACAGTATGTACTTGTGACAGTTTGTAACTGGGGGACTGTATATAGTGGAGATGTGGATCATTGTGGGAGATTGTCCTGGTGGGTGAGTGGGTGTAATTGTGCACTGATGGTGTATGTGGTGGTGGGAGTCTAAGATGTATGCATGGATACTTTGGGATACTTTGTGGGGAGACCATTATCTGTTGGGAGTTCAGGGTCTCTGTGCTCATCCTAGCAAGCTGTAGAGACTGGAGCATTTCAAATCAGGAATTAGAGCCAGGACTTTCTCTGATGCTGTAAGTAGGATTCTCAGGCTCCCAGGACTAGTCTGGCTTATGAGAAGTTGTAAGAAGTGTCTTTCTGAAAACCTCCAGGGTGCCCCAGATCCTTCTGATCTGAACATCAGTCACAGAATACCTCCCTCCCCATATCATTTAGTCCCTGAACTTCCAGACCAATTGCAAACAATTGACTTGGATCTGCTTTTCTGGAGAAGATGGGTGGTGGTGTGTCTGGGGAACTCATTAGCCTAGGGACTGTTGAAGTAGGGAGATAAGAGGATTTTTCTTTGGGATAGGAAAGTGAGAGAACTTTGCAGTTGGAAACTAGAGGTATGGGGCAGGGGTAGGACTGAAGAGCTGTGTGCAATATGATTGAAGATGGAGGGAGCGACCAAAACCATCAGAGCTACTGTCTCACATCCCTGCCCTGGCAGCCATGGAGGGTTGCAATACAGGGACAAAGGGCACCGTAATCTCCCACTCAGGGAAGCCCAAGGGAAGTTTTGGTTGGGTGGGGCGTAGTTTTGTTAATCCACACCCTCATTCATGCACCTCCTTGGATCTCAGCAAAGGAGGGTTCTGGGTCCAAATACTGGCCAGATTTAAGGCTTCCTGGGGGTTTAGGACTCTCCCTGGCAAAGTGTGGATTAGTGGGAGGGGGTGGTCTGGCTGCAATTCTGGTCCTGTAGAGGGTCTCCAGAACTCACCCGCTGCAGGCTCAGTACAAAATGGAGCAAAATCCGGAAATGGCCTCCCAGGACTACAAAATTCTCCTTGGGTAGATCTGGCTGCGCCCTTTGCTCGCGGCATGACTGTAGCCTCCAAGTCCATGCCTTCTTCGCAGAATGCGGTTTTCTTTCCTCCATTTACATTTTTCGGAATCGGTGTCTCCCGCAGTAAAATCTTGAAGCCATCCCAAAGCCGCCAGACCTCAGGCAAGATCCGACCCGCTATTCCAGAGACCACCCCCCAAAAGCTGTTATGTCCGGAAGTCCCCGGATATTTCTTGACCACAGACTGTCCAACCGTGGAGGAGCTGGGGGTAGAGATGGGGAGCGACTACTGTCCCAAACACAACACCCCAAACAGGCTCCCAAACCCGTACTTTTCACCGCCATTCTCACCCTCTTTTAGACAAAGCGAGCAAAGTTGGGCACCACCCCCCATCTTCACGAACAGCCTAATACTCACAACTGCGTTGGCAGATCTAGGCCTGGAACTCCTAGCCCCGCTGTTCTCTGACCCTGCCCAGCTGGCCCAGGACTGGAGAAAAACAGGCGTTTTGCATGTCAGGTTCATCCCAGGCAATGGGACCCAGGACGCTCAGAGCGGGCAACTTCCGAGTTACCTGGATACCTGCCTGCCTGCTCCCGCCGCTCTCTTTGCCGCCTGCGGTCCTGGACTAGGCGTTCTTCCAGGACACCTCAGACACTGGACCCCGGGCTAGGTCTCCGGGAGGTGTCAGACTCCCGGAGGCGTTGGAATTATTGGCGCTGAGGGACCGGGCCAGACTGACTCCTCGCTCTCCGCTCTCCGTCAGAATTCGTTGGACGAATCTCAATGAATCCCGCGTCAGCCGAGTGCCTGCCGCTGCTGCAACGGAAAAAGGTGGGAACGCTGGCTCTGCCTGTGAGTTGAGAGGGAGCTTTACTTGAACACCGCGTCCGGAGTGTGCCGGAAACCGGAACCGAGGGGCTTCAAGGGTCAGAGTCATGGTCAACTGCTCCAAGTAGAAAGCTCGAAATGCCTGGTCTTTCATGGCGCCTATCGGAAATAAGAGGTCTTTGATTAAAAATAGAAAAGGAATAAATCATCTGAATAATTGTATGCAGAGGTGCCGGAGAGGAAAAGAAGAATTAACAAACCTGTCTGGGCAGAGACCCTCCCCGCACCCCCGTTTTTTCCTTTTCTTGAGAGAGGTTACTGCCCTGACCAAATACCCGCAGCCAGTGAGCCCTGAGCAGCGGCTCAGACCTGGGGCAGCCCACCCTCGTGGTTCAGTGGATGGTGACCAGCCGCCCAAGAACCCAGGAAAGGCTGGGGTCCCAGAGGCTCTGTGCTGTGAGGTGGGTGGCACATAAAAAATCTGGCTCAACCTGTTGACTATAATAGAGGCTTTGTGTCACTAGATCTGTGTTTGGGGGTGGTGGTGGCTGCGGGGGAGATAGACACTGCCTAAATACTGCCTGCCTGCTCCATGGCTTCCCTAGTGAGGAAGCAGGTGTGGGGTTTGCTATGGGTCCAAGAATAAGAGGTGTGCCCTCTTTGTTGTATCAGTGACATGCAGGTGGCCAAGGTAGGTTGCAGGCTCAAGAGACAACTCAGTAAGCCCCTCCCTATGGGCTATGCAGAACAGGAGCAGCTGGGACTCCAGTGGCCATGCTGTGGAAAACTGGGAGGTTGTGGCCCCAGGGCTACTCTGAGGGCCCCTCAGCTCAGTTGCTGGAAGAGATCCTCTCCCTTAAGCTGTGCTCCTCTTGCTCCCTTCACATCCACTTTAACAAACTTGTCCACTCCCAGGGCTCTGTGCAAATCTGTCCCCCTTCAGCTCAATTTTGAATCCCACCGGCAGGGAGCTGCCTCCATGTTCCTAACTTGGCTCAAAATGAGTCCAGTGACTACTGGCTCCAGTTCAACACTGACCTGATTGACCACGGAGGCCTTCAGGTACCACCCACCTGCACCTTCCTCTGGATTTCTTGTCTTGGGGAAACCAATAGGAACAGGCTGGGGATCCAGGTCAGGTTTCCAAAAAGCTTGGAGCAGACTGGGAAGGTGGAATTTGCCATGGTTAGGGTAGAGTGGAGGATGAGTGAGAAAGGTGGGTACAGAAAGCCTGGGGTACCCCAGTTGTGCTGACAGGTAGGTATAAACAACCTCACACTCACAGCCTGCATTGCTGTGTAGGACCTCATGTACTTCCTCTAACTATGCAACAGCCAGAGTATCCAATGTTACACAAGGGGAGGTATAGGTGTGTGGTGCCAGGCATACACAAGTGCACACACAACCTTCACTGCTGGAGCCTGTGGTTACCTCTCACAAGCTCACACCTGTCACTGCCTGTCACTGCCTGGCCAATTCCTGTTGGCAGTTACCCCATGGGCACCCCTCCTTTCTTCCCCCTCCCCTACTCTCCCAGCCCAGATGGAGGAGGGTCTAACTGAGCTCCTAGAGGGCCTGGGGGTGGGAACGTCTTCTATTCACACTTCAGCTTCCAGTCCAACAGCTCTGGCCCGGACAGACCCCTTGGATCGGTGGTTGGGCTTGGGGACCCCCAGCAACAATCAGAAGGTCCAGCCACCACTGGCCCTCTTCAAAGCCTGAGGAAATCCAGCCTCCTTGCGTGAGAAGGTTGGGAGGGGTGTAGGGGAAGGTGGGGGTGCGAGGCCACCACTGCGGAATGCCTCAGAAGGGGAGGCTTTGCTAGGAGCTGCCGTGCCCCTCCGGTTTTCGGCCCTGTGGTCCCAGAGCTTATATATTTTCGGTTGCTGAGTGAGGGTGTAGCTGCAGGACCCAAAGGCTGGAGGCAGTGTTGGCGGCTCAGCCGCGCACAAGTGGGAACCGGACAAGGCCACCGCGCAGAAAACCCGGACAGGTGAGTTCCGGGCGCCCTCTAGGGGCCTCGCATAGAGAGGCGCCTCGAGCCAAGGCCAGGGAGCTTGGGCTGTCGCCGCCCTTTCCAACACAGGGCTGGCTGCTGCTAGCGCAGGGGAAAATTTTACTACTAATAAGCAATATTACTGAGCGCTTGCTGTGTCGCAGGCACTGCGCTAGACTTTAAAAATTCTATCCATTGCTAACCACTGCTCTATTAAGCAGCTGGTATTTTTATTCCTACTTTAACAGGCAAGGGAAATTCAAGTTCAGAGACGTTCTGCAATTTGCCTAAGAGCATCAACTGCGACTAGCATTCCGATCCAGCGATCTAACCCTAGAGCCAGGGTCTTTGAGAAGGGTACTTAAGTGCTGCGATGCCGTGGGTTTGGGAGGATTGGAGGTGAGACCCCACCAATCTCCCGTCAGGGCTTGGCTTTGTGGAGGGAGCTGTCATTCAGTCCAGTGGTGAGC